GGCTCCGTGTGTAAGCCCTATATGATCATTTTCTGATAACGATGAAAGAGCCCGCCTCCCTCTCCCCACGTCTCCTGCTGCTGCTGGGCTGTCAGAAGAGGGGGAGGAAAAGAGAGGCAGTCACCGTTTAACAGAAATTGTTATCAATTTGTTTTAAAGCTCAATAAATAACAAAGAAGACCTCTGACCGGCAATTTTCTAATTTTGTACGGAAGATTTAAACTTTAACGGACATGTTGACCGGCGTAACATTTTTTTTACGGAAACTCTGCCGCACGGTCCCCTCGTTCCTTGGAAGAGGCGGAGAGGTGGGTGTTTTTCATCTGCTGGTGGACTACCTGAGAGATACAGCAGGAGAACACGCCATCCACCGCGGAGAATAAACAGAAGGGCAACCATGGCAAGCATGCTCCGGGGTCTTCTTCGCTGCTTTTGGTGTATTTCGGGCGGCAGCAGCGCCACTTACAGGCCTGACATATGTACTACATCGTTTCCAGCGGTCTAGTGTGAACGGACATATTAATTGAGCCGAATGCGTGTGAACGGAAGACTTTTTTGAAAACGCATACGGTGCGTAAACGCATACGTTCCCGTGTAAATGGGGTCTGAATCACTTCAGAAGTCAGCAACAAGTCCTTGAGATTTTTATTTTTCAAGCAGCATGGGCAATTTGAATAATGAATAAATAATGTGTAATTTCAGGTGTTGTGCATATTCAGGTGTAATTATTAAATGAGTCAGAATCAGATTATGCATGCCAATGACCATGGGATGCATTTAAATGTTTCTCCGATTGTAACCAAATACTATCGAAATCAAGACTCGGGGAATGATGCTGTAAATAAAAGAGGAATACATCAAACTTGACCTTTAAGAATAAAGTCTAAGGTCAAGTTACAGGTAGTTCGACAACGGGACAATATGACAGACATACAGTATGATATGAGCAGGATAACGTGCATGGAGATGAGCTCATGCACGTGAGGGGACACACTGTGGTGACTGCTAACTTACTTTCAAAGGTGACCCTCCTCTTTTCTGTGAGGAGCAAGTGGAAAGAGACAGAAAGGAGAGAGCAGTCTAACAATAGCTATGTGAAAGCAAAGGCACACGGACAGTAAGGAACCTGAATCACAAAGAAGGCTTATCTGAGCTAGGCTCCCAACATGTGTGTCTGATAAAGCACACATCATGGTCTATCTATGGCTAATAGAACTGAACACGTTGTGGTACTAAGAAATTCATTTGGCCTATAAAGATTTTCACTCTCCAGTAAATGCAGTATTTTTGTTATTGGATTATCCTTTTTTTAACAGATGGGTTCAGAGGATTATATGAAAACGTTTATACAACCTGCCACGCAGCTATGATATGTAAAGTGTCTCAGTTTCCATGGTGATAATCTCCATAAAAAGGCTAATTTTATTTTTGCGATAGTGGAAAGCCTGGATTAAATCCGATGTTACCTGACTAATCCACAACTCTTCTTACTTTGTGAGACAGGTCCCAGCAGGGTTACAATGTTAGCTGGATAAATGCACATGACTGAATAAAACTGAGTTTGTTTTACTTCCGTCCATGTTGAGCTCCAGGTTGAACATGTACTGAACACAGTTATCCAACGTTATTCAACTTTGTAATCCTGCTTTGTGATACAGACCATAGAAAAAACACACATGATCACACCACATAAACAAAATAAGGGAACAGAGAGGGGGTTTTTTGTGCCGACACTGACGACATTAGGGTGAACACTCTTATGGGGGACACTGTGTGTGTGTGTGTGTGTGTGTGTGTGTGTGTGTGTGTGTGTGTGTGTGTGTGTGTGAGAGACTAACCTTCAGGTGTGGCGGTCTCCTTGCTGCGGGTGGAGGGGTTGAGCAGGCTGCTGGGGTTGGGTTGATGCTCCGGGGATTTGACGATGGCTGACATGAGGATTTGATGGCGAGCCTGCGCTGGTGTGGAGGGAGCCGCATGTTCCTGGGCTTTGAAATGAGCTGCTGTGGCAACAACAACAACAACAACAAGTCAAACAACCTAATATTAGACTAGTAATAGCCATTTAGATGAAACATTTTCTGGCACCATTATAAAAAATAGATTCTGAAAGAAATCTCTTAGGACCTGGCATGTGTACATAATGGAGCGAGATGATGCCATGGCAACAATGTTAAAAGATGGCCGGCATGAGATAAGGGAGGAGGTGCAATACAGAATTTCCTGAGCTGATTAAACAGGGTGAGCTACAGAGTGTCGTCTCAGCCCTTGCTGCTGGGGGATGCAATAAGATATCATTCCTGCTCCATGTCTTTTGTAGTAGGTGGCTAAAGTCGCCTCTACATGATCAGCTGTAAACCCCTCTGGAGCAGAGAGCTTCTTATCATGTGAAGGCAGCTTAAACTCTGGGACCCACCCTCTTCTCTGAGGGATCGCAGCTCGATCCTCATCTTCTGCAGAGCCTCTTCCAGATCAGCGCATCTCGAGCGCTCCTTATCCAGAGCCAGCTTCATGTCCCCGTACTGCATGGGAACAGCCGGCTGGGCCTGTGGAGTCAGAGCCCCGTTGGTCGTCGTGCCAACATCCTCCCGCCGCCGCCCGAATATACCCTACTCAGAGAGGGAGGTCAGTAATGCTATGCATGAAACATACAATATATACATTTTTAAATGTTAAGATATAATAGTGTTTATCAATCCGATAAGGCTTAATGTCCATCTTTTTTTACATTCAAAACTTCAGGTTTTCATCTGAAGCTTCTTTGAATCTCTGTTTTAATTCATATTTTATGATATCAAAAAGCAAAAAAAGCAAAACCTTGGAACAAAATCTTCAATTTATATATCTGGCACCACATTTTTTCTGGGATCATCATTAGCCTTCTTAAAACGCCTCAATCCGTCCGGTGTTATTAGACATGTTGCAATAACACGAGTCGGCAAAAATCCTAAACCGCAACCGCTGTAATCTAAATCCACAAATAGTATAACTCTCATATTAGAAAATGTGTTCTCAGACCTTCTTTTTCTTGGTGGGCTGGTCCATCTTAGCCTGGAGAAAGTCTATGAGCTTGGTCTGCTGGGAGATGGTCCCCTCCATCTTCACCTTCTCGTGCGAGTATACAGCCTGCAGGGAGGAAACCGAGCAGAGAATGAAATACCTTTGAAGAGAACTTTAAATGAATTTCCTTTGAGACACATGAAGTGGGATTCCCTTTATCCTGCGGGTCCTTCTGAGATGCTGTGTTACTCGGCAACATCAGTCGCACTATTCTAACATCTAACCGCGACTCCCGAGAAGACTTTTTATTTCCTCAGATTGCAAAAGGTATGCCTTCATCCTGAAGTCAAATGTAACACCTTTTAAGACCTTTTTTTAAGACCCTTTCCATACATTTTAAGACCTCATCGCCACTTCGAGTTCTAACCGGTT